GCGAGAGAGCATGGGTGGCAGGGCTGGTGCGGGGCGCGGGTGGATGCGCAGGAAGAACTGGGCCGGAAGGTGAAGGCGGAGGGGATCGGATCGAAGGGGGAGGAGAGAAGGGGGGAAGGGAGGGATGAGGAGGAGGAGGCGAACAAGGATCGGGATGAGGAGAGGGAGGCAGATGTCTGTGGTGGAAGGGGGGGAGGAGGGAGACCAGAGTGAAGCAAATATGCATCAACGATCAATGCGCCCTTCTGTCCCAGCCCCCTCCTCACAGGCCCCTACAATGACAAGGCTTCCTCTTCACTATCGGAGGCGCTCGCCTCAAAATGCCTGCGCCGTTGGGCCTCCCATTTTGTCCGAGGGCTCCCGTTTGAAAAGGAATTGCCTTGCATCCGCTTGGCGCGTAATTCGGAACACGAGCGACAATGTTTATTCAGTTCCAGGATGCGTCCAACCAGCGAGATCGCCCTGTCGAAGAAGGACCGCCCCTCCATCCGTGAAGCTCTTGCGCAGCTTTGCATCTGCGGTCATGAACTCCGAGGAAGTCTCTCGAGCGGCAGCTCCGTTTTGAAAACGAGCCCCCATGGATCTGTGCAGCGCTGCGTGCGTTGAAGTCCGAGGTCCTCGATGTGAGCAGCATGTCAGGCGATATCTCTGTTTTGAGAACAGTCCCCCGTCAGTACCAACGCTGCGTAAAAGAAACAATGCGCGCGGCGCTGAGGCGATGGCCCCATATTGAAAACGGCCAGTTCTCAAGGGCTCAAGACTTGCAGGAACTGCGGCGGATTTGGGACGACCGTTCGCGGCGCTAAGGCTAGAACCACACTTTGAAAGGAACCGCTCCCCACCCGTGAAAATGCTGACAGTTTTGAAGCGAATGTGTACGGCACGATGGCGGGAGCCGAACTTCAAGAGGAGCCATCTCCATCCGCGAAGCTGTTGCGTAGTTTTGAGACGAATGTGCGCGGCGCTGAGGCGATGGTTGGAAAGGAGTCGCCCCCCATCTTCGACTACGTTGCACGCCTTTCAAGACGAATGCGCGCAGCGCTGAGGCGAAAGCCACATGTTGAAGATCAGCACGTCGCCGACATTCACAACCAGGACTTCCTCCTCCTCTCCTCCTCCGTCATAACTTTTTGTGTGTTGCACCGAATCATGTATTGTGTGTCTCGCAGTTCCTGTGCATGTCTCTATGTTTACAGGAGGCCATGGCCTCACCCACCTGGTCTGAGCAGGCCCGGACAGCTGTCCGATGTGGTGGTTCGTTCGTTCGTTCGTTCGTTCTCCTACCCGCGAAGCTGTTGCAAAGGTCATGCTTCAGTGGTCGTACCTGGCGAGGTCGCCGGCGAAACGTCCGGCCCGGCCTGCCGGCACGTCTGGGCGTGCGGGGGAGGGGGAGGGAGCGATCTACGAGGAAGCAGGGCGGAGGGGGAGGAGGAGGAGGAGGAGGGGGAGGAGGCGGTGAGGGCGGGGAGGAGAAGGAGGAGGAGGAGGAGGAGGAGGAGGGGGAGAGGGAGGAGGGGGAGGAGGAGGGGGAGAAGCAGGAGCAGGAAGGAGCAGGGGGGGAGCGTCGTGGGAACTCCCGGAGGCTGCCCGCGCTTGCCAGGTCTGGTCCTCTCCTGGGGCAACCAGGCGGGCGAGGGGCACGTGAACGTGCGGCCTCGAGACGAGGCCCGAGGGAGCCTCCGATCCAAGCAGGCGTCGTGTGTGTGTGTGCGTGTGTGCGTGTGTGTGTGTGTGTGTGTGTGTGTGTGTGCGTGTGTGTTTGTGTGTGTACGTGTGTGCGTGTGCGTGTGTGCGTGTGCGTGTGTGCGCGTGCGTGTGTGTGTGCGTGTGTGTGTGTGTGTGCGTGTGTGACTGTGTGTGTGCGCGTGTGCTGTGTTTGTGTGTATGTGTAGGTGTACGTTCACGTGTGCATGATGCGCATTTTATCGAAATTATGTAGCACAGTCGCATGTGCGAGTGTAGATGGACAGATGGGGCGTTCCAAAAAGGGCCTTGCCTTCGCGAGTAGAAGGAGATGACATCTCCTCCGCGGCGGAAGGCGGCGGAAGGTCGGTGGACGGTCGGCGGAAGTAAAACGAGGCCACCTCCGCGGGCGGAAGCCGGCGGAAGGGCAGTGGAAGGTGGCAGAAGTACAATATGCGCCCCCAGGAGATGAAACGGTTTATGGGTCCAGGGTTTCCGAGGTCGCCCAGGTGAAAACAAAAGGCGTAGATCTGTACACATCGAGCGGGAGAAGCAGGGAGCGCTGCAACCCACGCGCGCCGCACTGGCCTCCCCGCGGACGACGAGAGAAGCCTGTGGTGGCGGGTGTGTCGCGTGCCCGCGCCTCTCGTCAAGTGTGCGGAGGGCGTGTGGTGCCTAGCCCTCGCGGCCGCCTCGCCCTTGCCCTGGATGTACCCCACGAGCACATGGGGCGATCCAGAAAACGGGACTTGCTTTCGAGGATCGGACGGGTTGTCATCTCTTCCCCGGCGGAAGGTCGGCGGCGGTAAAACGAGGCCGCCTCCGCCGGCGGAAGCTGGCGGAAGGCCGGCGGAAGGCGGCGGAAGCAAAATTTGCGCCCCCAAGAGATGAAAGCGTTTTTAGGTTCAGGGTCTCCGAAACCGTCCACGTATACCCCCGGGAAATCGGTGGCCCGTCGTGCCCCCCCCCCCCCCAAGGAGGCCACGCAGCGTGGCCCACAGACCGTGCCCCCTCCTCGTGAGCTCTGTAGGGCTGTGCGGGACAGTCCGCTGCAAGGGCGGCATCGCAGCTGGGCCTTACTGGCAGAGGTCTATCGGTGAGTCCAATCCGAGCCCGGCGGGTGAGGTCGAGGAGATGTTGCCTTAGTCGGGAGTTGTTCCCGTCACATTGTCTCCCCTTCCGTGTGCGCGCCGTGGGGCCCGAGTCGTCCCGTGCTTGTCCCGTGATTCTGTTGAGGTTGTCCCGTGGGTGTCCCGTGGTTGTCCCGTGGTTGTCCCAGTGATTCCTCCGTGGGTGTCCCGACGGTTCGCCCGATGGTCCACGACGCGGCCTCCCGCACCGCCTCCCGCGCCAGCGACGCCTCCGTCCACAGCAGGCGCTCCTCGGGAGTGAGTGCACCACGGCTGCGGCCAGGCGCCACATTGCAACGCCGATGACCGTCTGCCTTCTGCCCAGCAGCGCCAGGTGGCAGCGCAGCCCTTCGGCGCCGCGTGGCCCGCTTCGCGCCAGCGTTCGGGGAACCGTCTGCGCCTCCGAAGGTGGGTGCGGCCGTGAGCACGCACGAGGAGTTAGGCCCCATGGTTGTGCGGTGGTTGTCCCGTGGTGATCCCGCCGCCGTTGTTCCACGGTTAGTGCCTCGCCGTGGAAGCGTGGTTGTCTTGTACAGGAGAAACCGGTGCCAAGACACACCATGCTTGCCTCCAGGGTGCCCTGGGTTTCTTGGGCTTCGATGGTTATACTATAGAAAGCGTGACGTTCCCATTTCAAAAATCAATGGACGTCCTGGGGTCTCAGGGTTGGATCTCTTGCGGAAGGTTTCTTGTGGACTGGCCTTCAATGTCGTGGAACTTGTGGGTAACTAACTTTTTCGTGAGGAGAGTGAGGTCGGCACATCCATAGACAGGTTGTCCGATGGCCAGTGATACCAGGGCAGAGGTCGTGCCGACCATAGATGTCTAGATCGCGAGATCGGTAGATCGATAGTGAGTCCGGCAAACAGGTACATCGGTTGATAGAGAGTGAGACTTGAATAATATTGGGTATATCGATCGGTAGTGGTATGGTGAGGCCGACAGATATGTTGATCGATAGACAGGCAGTGAGATCGATGGACAAGCTGATAGGGTCTGGCTGATGTGTGCTTGTCTTCTGGTTTCCGAAGACCTCCGCGGGCCCCATGACGCTTTCAGACATCTTCAGGCCTCAAGGGCTACGGTCGGATCGAGGTATAAGATCGAGGTCCGTTCGGGGAGGTTACCCTGATGCTCTTCGTGCTTGTTGGATGTAATTGTGCATCCTTGGGAAGCATATCTTCGAATGTTCTTGAGTTTGGCTGGCGGAGGGTCACGCGCTCTTGAAGTAGAGTATTATGTCCTAGGTCCAGCCGTATCGTGAAGCGATTTGGGGGTCTCGATTCCCAACCAAAGCGTCCAGGTCTTCGGAAAGAATCGTGGAGAGTCAGTAGCGCGCGAGAGTTTGGAGACAGCCCGATGGTAATGGGGATCGGGCGTTTGGGGCTTTTCAGAGATAGCAAGTCACGAAAATCTCGCTCGTTCTGGATTGAGTGTATATCGGCGAGTAGCACCAGATAGCGCGCAAGAGCGCCCAGATAATAACGCTCAAAGTGCACCGAAAAGCGACCAACTGCATCCGATAGCGCCATGTGAGGAAGGTGCATTCTATCCGCCTTGCGCAGCAGTAGGCGTCATGGGGACGACTGAAAGCTTCTGTGAGTTGCTTTCTAACCACGGGGTCGTCAGTTTCCTGTAGTCCTCGATTGCAGCTCTGGCTTGCAGGTAGAGCGGCTGATCGAGGAGTTGGGCTTCCGCAGCGACTGGGAGGCGGCACAGCACCTGCGCTCAGAGGCCCGGGGAGCAAATTGCTGACCCAGGCCCACGAGCCTCCCGGTCGTCCCCCCACCCCTCCCTTTTCGCCGTTCTTGTCTCCCACAGGGTGGCGCAAGACTGGGAGGCATTTGCACTTATGTGTTTCCAGGTCCGAGGTATGACACCCACCCCCAGGCATGTATGTTTTTGAGGTGGATCTTATCACTGTGTAGGTCGCACTTCGTTTCCCTGTGCCTCTGCAGAGCGACAGCGTCCGCGCCACCTTCGAAATCATCCTTCCGCGGGTGGGGTATATTCGTAGATGAGGTATATCATGTTTTTTTCCGGTGCATGATTATATCTCACCCCTGCGGCGCCACAATGACTACATCGCGTTGGCCAGCATTTTCGGGGCGCCATTCCAGTTGGGCCCGCAGATAACCCAACCCAACAAGTTGCAGGGGGGGCAGGCGAGGGAGGGAAGTTGGAGGGAGTGCAGGGGGCGGGAGGAGGTCGCAGGGTGTCGTCGGGCTTTTCCCAGGGCTCATTCAAGCGGCCCTTTTGGGCGCCCAGAGCTCATGCCAAGTTCGGCTTTCGAAACAAGAGCTCAGTCAGTGTCAGTTTCTGTGTCCCCAGTGGTGGTGGGGTACCATCAGCCGGCCCTCAGTATTGGGACCTCCTCAGGCAAGACTCCCGTGGCTCAACAACACGGTTTTAGTGTTCGAGCGCATTGACCACGACCCTTGCGAGGGGTGACATTCAGGCGTTTCTTGTCACCAGCGCTGCCCAACCCAAGGCTGCGAAGCAGTGCTGACGTGGTTGCTCGGTGAGACTGCGGCATCACGGGACCGGTGTCGGAGCATCGGTCTTCGCCAGGCGGGGAAGATTGGCCACGCCGTCGTGGGCCCATGCTGCCAACCCGCGATGCCAGAGCCGCCCTCCGACGGAGAGCACAGGCGCATGCAACCAGAAATCGGCCCGACAGCAGGTGCCCCTCCTCGGAGATGTTCGATTCCCACGTGTCTCTGAGGACCCACCGGTGTCCCAGTGCATCCTGCGAGGTATTGAGACCGACGAAAGGTGCGGCAGCACCCCCTTTCTCGTGCGCATCTGGGCCCTGGTGTGGCCATCTGTCGGGTTCCACTGTTTGCGGGATCCTGTGGTCGTCGGTCTCGTGGAAGTCTTCGGTTTCGCCCAGGTCTGGGGCCCCAGAGGGGTCCCCGAGTCTTGGTGGTCCCCGCAGCCCCTCCGAGCGCCGACGACCTCGATTCCCGCGCGCAGCTGCTGCGCAACGTAAGGCCAGGGATGATTGGTAAGGCTTTGTGTATCTACGTCGGGCGGGTGGCAATGGGAGGTGAAGAGAAGGGCCCTTCTAGGGCCCTTTCCCGCACCTCCTGCTTCGGTCACCCCCCAGTTTATGATGTTCCAACCTACTTCAGCCTTGATCACCAGAACGAATATTGAGCACCAAGAAAACAACCCAAAAGTCGAGGGTTTTCGCGTGTCGGGCCCTGGCAGACACTCTTTCGACACTCTTTCGACACTCTTTCGACACTTGCCTGGGTGCTCGACATTATTTCTGGGATGTGGTCCTTATGTACGATGGGCGCAACCTAACCCCCAGTACCACCCGCCCGACTGCGGTCTTCCTCGGTCCATCCTTGGACACTTTCGTTGGCCGCGCCCCGCTCGAAACGCTTCGAGATGGGCGTCCAAGGGCCTTGCATCCTTATCGCGCATCCTTACTCTGCGGGTTGACTCTACGGACGTGGCTGAGGAGGCAGCGGTGCCGCGTTGGTCCCCGCTCATCTTCCGGGATGCTCTGTGCGTCTCCCGAGCCGGGGGGGCAGGCCAGCGCACTGGTTCGTGGGCCGAGGTTTTGTTTCGCGCAGCTGAGGCTATGCTTAAGTCGAGCCTGTCCGTCTACAGGAGGAATATTCCCAAATAGTCAAAAATAGTCTGGGGACTATTGTTTGAGTATACATTTTTTGGGGCTATCTTGGGGTATTTTTTGGACCATCTTTAATTTCGGCCAAAATCCCCGTGTAGGAGGACACGCCCGACTTGAGGCTACGATTCAGAAAAAGGGCTGTTCTAGGAGGCCAAGATCAGCTCTCAGGCAACATCTGCGCCCAAA